ATTTTTAAATGAGATTAAAAATATTTGTATGTCTCATGGGGCTGTCATGGAAGCAGGGTATCCTAGCTCCTTCTATATAATCCCCACTATTTCCATGTTGGCATTCCAGACCCTACAAGTAAGAAAATGAAGATTTTTGTATGCAATTTTTATGCATAAGCATTTTTGTTACTAGCTGTTTTCCAAGTATACGATTTGTTCACTAATCTCACAAACATTTTTACTCAGTGCCAGGCACTATGCAGAGCATTGAGGGTTCACAGGGAAATGAGAGGCCCCTGCCTCCAAGGAGCTTAGAATCTAAGGAAGCAAATAGTCAGAATGGTTGATATTTAGAACATAGAGTAGACCACCAGTACCATTAATCCTTGTGAAATAATTGAGGGGTAGTCTCATCGTCTTAAAAGCCCACTGATTTTTCGCTTGAGAGGTGCTTTGGGGTAAAGGCTGACAATGAGCGCTCTCACCCATGTCCACATATATTAAGCAGATAGCTGTATCAGTTATCTGCTGCTGTATCTAACTGTATCAATTTCCTAACATAGTGTCTGATGTTCAAGATGAGTGGTTGGGACACATCTTCCTTTTTAGAGCAATAAATGGTTATGGATTTTCCTCCGCAGTAACGGCTGCACTTAAATGTGGACGATGAAATCTGCTGGACTGCACTCTGTCCCACGCGCTCCCTGCTCACGAGCTTCTTGGTACCGGTGATGTGCAGATCTAACTATAGGGCTGTCATCAGCTGCCTAATGATCTACCTTAAATAGGACTGTCAGCCATTTTGTTTTGTCCCAAAGGGTTCTTTGCAAATGATCCACAGAGAAGAGGGGGAGCCAAGGTGCCCCCAGCCATCAACACAGAGCTCCAAACATGGTGGTTGTGACCCTTGGGCTGGGAGCCAGGGTATAAAAGAGAAGCAGTAGGCATACAATAGGCAAGCTCCATTCATTTTTAAGTTCAAGGTCTTTCAGCTGGAGGAGTATAGAAAGAACTTTACTTTGTCAGAGATGACCTATGATAATATGAAATCTAAGCCAAGAGAGTCAAAGGCTATATATCCTTGTTCAGGGACAATCACTCAACACCAACACAGGCTGAATCTTTGACAAGAATAGCTGGCGCTTATGAACCACATAGCTTGGAGGGATGCTGACAGATGATATACCTTGGATTGTAATCATTCCTCCCCCTCTCTTACAAGTTTGGGGATGATGTACACCCCTTCCAGTGTTACAGTCATTGGGCGCAGAAAAATTTTGTTTATTATTTGATTTTTAGCTCTCTGGTTGTTCTCTCTGGCATTGTGCTCTGTGATTTGGTTACTTTTCAATGTTGTATGGCCATGTGAGGGGGCTGGGAGTTATCTATTTTTATCAACACTATCACTGTGGGTCTTAAAGTTAGGGAGATGTGAATTCAGACCTATTACTAAGGTCAGTCTCTCGGGAGACTCTTGGGCATTGTGGTGAATAGGACAGGCTCCTGATTCAGAGAGTCCCAAGGTTCAAGATCAGAATCTATTATATAATTTATATGTTTTGTGGTGCTAGGCAAATTAACCTCTCTGTGCTTCAACCTCTTTATCTACAAATAGAAAGGATATTAGTATCTACCTTACAGGGAGGTTGTAAGAACAAAACTGAGATGCTGTGATATGGTGGCACATATGACTGCTCATTAAATATTCCCTGATTAAAGTTGCCTGAGTCCTCTAATCCTTGGTATCCTCATTCTTACAATGATTGTGTTGTTAATGTTAAATAATCTAGGGGGAAATCTCAGCAGTGAGGTATGGAATGAATAGTCGATATTATTATCAATAATAATAATAAATAAAGTAACAAAACAAAAACATCTGAAATAGGCTTCAAAGCCTCATTATTATTGCTTATTCTCTACTTTTTTATGTCAACTTCTGTTCTCATGAGATTATTCAGTTCTGACTCATCAGTGAAAAGTGACCTTTTATGCAGTAATTATTATTACATGGGTGAGAGTAGACAAATCTCTTTTTAAAATCTGATTCCATATCTCCATAAGCCAACATGCTTTTGCCAAACACGTTATGTTTCTAGCTTGGATGGGGAAGTAGTTTCCTGCACTGAGTTTGTAATTAACTAGGGTTAAAAGGTAAAAAACACGCATTCAATAAATTCTAACCGGGTGTATATTGTGCATAAGGCACTATGTTAGTATACTGATAGGTATAAACATGAACCAGATGTGGATCCTGCCTTCAAGGGATGCAAAGACAGCTGAGAGGGCTGGAAGAGAGAGCATGGATGCAGACTGCCTGGATTGGGTACCAGACTCTACCCCTCTCCACCGTGAGACTGTGGGCAAGTTACTGAACTGCTCTGTGCAGGGGCTCCTCCTTTGTCAAGTGCAGGTGACAGTAGTACTGTGACACCATAGCGTTGGGGTGAAACTCAGCTGGGTTATTACAGATAAAGCACAGTGTCTGTTCTGTAGTCTGAGATCAATAAACGTTAACCATTTCAAAATACATAGTTGGGGATAAGGCTGCATATAAACAAACATAATGTAAGAGTACGGTGATATTGCTATGGAAATTTGGATGGAGGAGAGATTATGTAGGCTTCATAAAGGGATGTGGTATTTGAGCTAAGCTTGGGAGGATAGATAATATATACACATGGAAGAACAAGGCAAATCAGGGCAGCTTTAGAATCAGATAGTATGAGTAAGAGCATGAAGGGGTGGACAAGGCAAAGGAACTCTACAGGGAAGAAGTTGAGAAAAAAAGAAAGTGAAGGTCTTCATATGCTGGTTCAAGGCATTTGTATTTGCTACGTGGACAATGGAGAGAGGGTCGTTATGGCTTTTCAACAGAAAAACGGTGAGGTCAGAGCTGTGCCTCTGGTAACAGACCAGAGGAAGAAAGCTCTGAGTGTCTTAATAGCTTGTCTTGGTCCCTAGACCTCCAGTCTGTCCTTTCTCTGGCCCATTTACTGTAGGACCAGAAGGAGGGAAGACTCAGACAGGAGATGATGATGTTTGGGCCTGGGTTGCCGAGAGGTTGGATGTGTCACTACCAAACATGGAGAACATAAAAGGATGAGTAGACTGAAAATTGCCTTTGGGTGCATTGGGACATGTTGGTTTGCAGCGTTGATAAGTATATGGATAAATTCAGGAATGAGTGGAGGTTTGGAACCTTAGAGTACCACCAGGTTGGAGGTAGAGATGGTCCAGCAACTCCTCCAAATAAAACTGGAAGCCTGAAGAATGGATGAGATTGCTAAAGGAAGCTGACAAGACCACCCTTGGCCAATCCCTATATGTAGGGATAGCAAGAGAAATTGAACATGGAAGGGATCCATCAGACAGGCAGGAGAACAAGGAGAACACAGGGTTGAGTAAAGGGACAGAAGAGTTTCAAGAAGGAGTGTTTTAGGGATGCTAGACAAGACTTACTTGGGAGATGGGAAGGTAGTAGGAATGGAAGAGAGATGAGGCTGGAGGCAGAGGGGAGAACTCACTTCCAGGGGATTGGGCAGAGACCGTTTGATGTATTAGGTAGAAATCAGGAAATGCTTACATGATCTTTGGTATTATTTCCTAGGAACTTAAGACATGTGTACCCCTCATCCTTAAGGACAGAGACTAGGTCTAAAAAGTCTTGTTACTGAATGTTATGCCTTCTGACCTAGCACTTTCTTCCTCTTTATTTTGTCTTTTTGTCTTATTGTTGGGGGGAAGTGGTGATTTGATATACACTGAGTTGGATCTGGTGTGAGTCCTACAAAAAGGGGAAGGTTTTATGGTCTTGTTCCAGTGAAACCAGAGTTCAGACAAGGTGAAAACATATTATTAAAAAAATCCCATAAGTCAATAGAACAAAATCCCAGAGTTGTGTTACTTTCTCTATCAAAAAATCCTTTTCCTTCCTGGCACAGAGGAAGAGAGGGAAGTGCCCTCTGGGAACTGGAAATCCTGGTGAAAGAGCGCAAGAACTATAAGAGAATAAGAGAGCAAGAAAGGGAAGATTGGGTTCATAGAGCAAGATAGTCTGGCTCTGAGTAGGATAGTCTAGTTCTGGATTTAGAATAGGAATCGTCTAGGTTTTGCCAAAGAATGTTCGCCATAGTGTGTTACTAAAACTGTGGAATACTTAGGACGGGGTGTTCATTTTGAAGAGATTGTCCACATGAACCTTGAAGTTAGGTGAGATCATGGCTCAAGTGGTGGGGACAAAGGCTATGAGCTGGCCTTTTGGCCGTCAGCTCCAATACTCCTGTATTAATAGATCTTGTGTTATAAAACCTGCGGTGCTCTGAAGTCTCCTGGCAGAAGGCTTTGTCATTGGATGGTCAATAAATGTGTGTTGAATTCACACAAAAATGATCAAATTTTCTGATTGTAATTAAGAGATCAATGAGGGCGCCTGGGTGGCTCAGTAGGTTAAGCAATCTACCTTCGGCTCAGGTCATGATCCAGTCCTGGGATTGAATCCTGCGTCGGGCTCCCTGCTCAACGGGGTGTCTGCTTCTCCCTCCCTATCTCTCTCTCTCTCTCTCTCTCAAATAAATAAATTAAATTAAATCTTTAAAAAAAAAGAGAAAGAGAGAGATAAATGGTGGGAGAATTAACTAGGATGTTGATAGTTTGCCCAAGAAGATGCAGAGATTGGGTATCACATACCTGAAAATAGAAGAGTTTTGCACCTGAGTAGGAAGGTGATCCAAATTTGGCATCGAGGGATGGGAGGAGTGCTCGAGCTTCTGGGGAGGGGAATTACAAAATGTGGAAGAACCTGCAGCCTCCAATTACAGGGAGTTCCTTGGAAATGGTATCCCCTGGAAATACCCAGATTTGATTTAAAGCAAAGGGAGAGAGGGAACAGGGGAAGAAAATTTACATCAGCACAGGAACTAGTGAGTGAGGGAGGGCTGGTAACCGGAGGGGCTTGTGTTCTGTGTTTAACCAGGGAGTGAGAGAGTGATGAGATGGGTTAACTTGACTTGTGGTTCCGCATGGAACTTCGGTGCAAAGATTATAGCGTCAAGTACTCGAAGGCTCGAGATGTCCATCTGTTGAAGGTTTACAGAGGTGGTCGGTGCGAAGACAGGCATGGGCTGCCGCTTCAGGCTGTAGCCAGGTCAGCATGGAGCATCCAGTGTCAGCCAGCATGGGGAAGAAAGTGACAGTGTTTGGAGAGCAGGAAACTTGGCGCAGAGTCCCTCACCCATATGTCTGTCACCCAGAGGGCGGACCTAGGAAAGTTTGTATGCTGGACTGTTCTTCAGCAGACAGCTGTTGAGCCAGGGCGGGTCCCTTTATCGCATTAGCTGATGGGCAGCCTAGGTTAGGAAGATGGGAATTATAGGACAGGTTAAGTTTCAGAAGACAGAGATGCGGGGCGCCTGCGTGGCTCAGTCATTAAGCATCTGCCTTTGGTTCAGGCCATGATCCCAGGGTCCTGGGATTGAGCCCCGCATCGGGCCCCCTGCTCAGCGGGGAGCCTGCTTCTCCCTCTCCCACTCCCCCTGCTTGTGTTGTCTCTGTCTGTTAAATAAATAAATAAAATCTTTTTTTTTTTTTTTTTTTAAAAAGAGAGGCAGCCGGTACAAGGTCAAGCCAAGGTGGTGTGGGCACCTTGGAGTGGAACGGGCATGGGAAATGAAGTCATGGAAACAGGTGTCTTCAGCTCAAGCTGAGGAGAAAATTTTGGCGACTCTCACCCGTTCCTGAAAAGTTTGGTCCGTAACACACTCCTGTGATTTCTAAATGCCTGTTTTTTGTTTTTTGTGTGTGTGTTTTCTTTTTTTGCTGGTGAGTTGTGCATAGGTGGGAGATACTTAAATATTCCTCAGTAGGGGGTCCTCTTGACATTTTGGACAGAAAAATTATGTGTTTGGAGAACTGCCTCTTGCAATACAGACCCCTTAACTCCTGTGACCCGTTGGGCAATGCACGTAACGCCCCTCGGTCATTGTGACAACTGAGAGGAATCCCTTGCTGCCTATGCCCTTTGGGAGGATGTGATTCCTCTGGTCACCACAATAGCTGGGGGAGACTCCACCTGGGGGAAAACTTCATTGTATTCAGAGATTTCACTGAATCCGCATTTTGAGAGTGTAGTGCTATTCTGGAGTTTTATTCCATCTCAACTCAAAGACCATGAATTCTGACTTCACTATAAGCAGAGGCTTTTGACTTATTACTGACTCAATTTAATGATGAACAGGGACATTTCCGTGCCAGTAAGAATGTGGAGCTTTTTTTTTTTCTCTCTCCTCAATCTTCTTTTCGTATGTCTGTGATTTGTGCCTTCTCACATTTTCCTATAGCCCCAGCCCAATCTCTGGGTACCAGCAGACATCTTTTTGGGGGATCTCTTACTATTGAATCTCTTTATCTTCCCATCAGGTGGAAGGATTTTATTTTTTCCATGTGACTAGGCACGTGGCGGACAACTTTCAAGAAAAACCATTTCTATTTAGTCCACCTGTCCAATATTCTGGGACAAACACTAACACCAGGGGGCATGGGGATGAGGCAGGACAACAGGAGAGCCTTTCCTAAGGAGGAAGTTCCAACTGGCCCTCCTCTTGTTACTCCTTTAACTCAACCACACCTGCAGATGTTTTTGATGTTGGAAACCCAAAGTAAAGTTAAGTGGTGGGGAGAGTGGGGGCACAGATGGACAGACTGGAGGAATGATAAGGAAAATTGTTTCCTCTCAGCCTCAGGCAGGGTTGTGCAAGAGATGAGCATGTTAGTGTAAATAGAGGTTGGCCTCGTTTCTGGACCATCAACAAGAGGAATGTTTTTCAAACAAGGTCTCTGAAATTTCAGGAGGGTTGTTTTGAGAGTGATGCGTAGGAGAGAGGTCCCCCTCCTTAGGAATTCAGAGTGGTTCCTCTACTTGACCTTCAGCTCCTCCCTCCAATGTGAATCCTCCAGGCTTCTCTCAGCCTTCCTTTCCCATATGTTTAGGACTCATTTCCTGTCACCGTCCACAGCTTCCTTCTGTCACTCCTGGCGAATGTGTTACACACTATGTGCGCCCCCATCGGGCTCTTTCTTGCCTCTTCCAAGCCTGACGCCAAATGGACTTTCCCTCCATGGATCCCATCTCTGCTTGATCTCTGCTGTTGTCTCTCTTCCCCTAGATCACATCTCACTGTCCTATTCCTGTTGTTTATTTGGAGATTGCTTAGATTTACTCTCATGTCCATCCACGTGTTGAAATTGTCTGCTCACCTGGATTGTGTGCCTTTCCTGTGTCCCAGCAGTGAGGCTCATGCTGCAGATGTCTGTAGTGTATATGTTCCACATACACGGACCTGCTCCCGCTAACACCACCCCAGAGTTGAGAGAGTTCTGACTCCGGGGTGGTGCTCAGCACAGCCCTGTGAATAGCACACTCTCCTTTTCTGTATCACATGCAAAAGCATGTACCTCTCAGTGTACCTGATAACGATGCAACAAGGTGACTTGGGGACCTGGTTCCACGTGGGGAGGCAGCCCCGCTCACTCACAAGTGTGTCTCTGTTCTGCCGGCAGGAAGATGAGGTGGTTCTCCAGTGCATCGCAAACATTCACAAGGAGCAAAGGAAGTTCTGCCTGGCAGCCGAGGGCCTTGGGAACCGCCTGTGCTTCTTGGAACCCACTTCAGAAGCCAAGGTAAGACTGATCGCCTGCCCTGTGCCTTCTCCCCTTGGCCTCCCAGCAGTCATTTGGGGGAAAGGAGCTGCATGGAGGGGATGAGGAAGGAGATGAGGAAGAAGGGAGAAAGAACACATTGTTTTGAAAGGGGGAAGCAGATCAGATTTAAACCATACCTCTCCCCAGCGCAGGAATCCCCGCAGTAGGAACCCAGAGCAGTGAAGAATTGTTTGCCATTGTTACCAGGATACCAATGATGCCTTGAGGGCACTGTCAGCCCTCACAGAAGAGGTTCTCCTCATCCTTCCAGAACACCGTTTTGTGTTAATTCCTGGAAGTCTGAGTGCATGTTCTTTACTCTCAGCTGGCACCGATAGCTCCAGGGACTCATGGGGCTTGGGCTTGGGTTTCGCAGCAAGCACGCTGCTCTCTGTTCTGACTATGCTGAGATCATCATCCCCACCTGCCTGTGGGGATGGGGGGCAGAGAGGAGCGTCCGTGCTGGTCCCTGCCTGTGTGGTGGCAGGTAATGTCCTCTCTCTTCAGCCGCACTTTCAGACCATCTCTGCTTTTCTTGGTCTCTTTGTCAGGTGGATCTGTGTTCACAGTACTTTGCTGTCCTGGCCAGATCTTTAGATCAGTCAGGGTTCTCCAGAGAAACATCTCTCACTTTCTCTCGATGGGTGGGTGGGTGGGTGGGTGGATAGATCGATAGGGATTGAAGATATTGCCTCTTGTGATTATTGGGGCTGGCAAGTCTGAAATCTGTACATCAAATCAGCAGGTTAGAAACTCAGGCAGAAGTTAATGCTGTCTTGAGGCAGAATATTTTTTTCTCCAAGAAACCTCACCTTCAACAGATGAGGTGAGGCCCACCCACATTCTCAAGGGTAACTTTTACTTGAAGTCAACTGTAGATGTTAATCACATCTATCGAATACCTTCACATCAAAACCTGGATTGGAGCTTGATTAAATAATGGAGTCCTATAGTCTAGCCACGGTGACATACAACTGACCATCCTACCCTCCAAGCTCAGTTTTCTCACAGAACCTTGTTTGTTTGTTTGTTTGTTTAATAAGCAGAAAGTTGTTACTGTATTTTCCAGTAGGCCCGCGTGATGGGCATGTCATTTCTGCACAGGAACCTACACAATCACAGACAAATATGCGTAGTTCAACCGACTCCTAGAACACCAGATATGTTCCCTCTTCTGGCCTGGCCCTTCCCTTTCCACGAAATATTTCCCCTGATTCCCTACCATCAAATTTTACAACCACCTGTGCCACTCTTGGGTTCTCGGAAGCTAACGTAAGGTGTGCAGTGAAGTAAGAAGGTGTATTCCCAAGCCTGGCGCTGAGGGTGAGCCATGCATCTCAAACACCACTCTTAGCACCAGCTACAGAGCCACCTGTGACCTTGGCATTCCTAGTCAAGGGTATTTCAAGCTAGTTGAGACTCAGAGAGATAAAATTGAGATAAATTCTAGGGAGAAGACAGACCTCTGAGAAAGAAGAGATGAGATAAGATTCTCAAAAGCTATTCTTAGTGTACAAGCCCTAAGAAAAAGAGGTCACATTGAAGCAAGGTGTGAAAAGGTAGAAGAATGAGAAGCAAAAGTATGCCAACATTTGCTGTAGACATGAGACTATTTAACACTTCGGAGAGCTCTTGTGACTTTCTGTTTGCCATGGCCCACTCTTCTCTGAAGGTCTCCTGAAACTGCAAATGTCAGCAGATGGAAGCACTGTTACTCAGCTTCCCTTTCAAAGATGCACAGCTCCAGGAATTAAAAGGTGTCTTGTTTTATAAGAAAGACTTCAGAATTAGAACCAAAGACCAGGAAACATGGAAAGGAAACGTTGCTTCTTTATTTTATCAATAACAGCAGATACTTTTTTCCCTGTCATTTTAAAAAAATTTTTTTAAGATTTTGGGCGCCTGGGTGGCTCAGTCGTTAAGCGTCTGCCTTCAGCTCAGGTCATGATCCCAGAGTCCTGGGATCGAGCCCCGC